CTTCTGGCCTATGATTGGGATCTTTCTGGATATCTTTTTTCGATTTTGACCCCAGAACTCCCAAATTTGCCCTACTATTGATTATTTTCTAATTTTAATTTTAGATTTTTAACTGATATTATACAAAAAATAAGAGATTTTAACAGACTAATTGCTTGCTTTGTTAATAAAATAATTGATTATAAAAAGTTAATCAATAAAGTTCATATATTATATAATAATATGAATCAAAAATCTCAATTTTAGTTGATAGGTTCTATAAGGTGATTTAATAACTTAACCCTTATATTACTAATTCTATTAGATATAAAATTTTCTTATATCATAATATTATCCTATTCAAATTTAACTGTTAGTTTAACATAATGATTATATAATAGTTCTTTTGACTTTTTTCAATAATACTCTTTACCATCTAATTCATAAATAATAAATTTTGATTTATCTGACTAAACTACTTTATCTTAGTCTTCAATTATTTTATAATTTGTTTCTTTTTATAAAATTCATCCTTACAATTCTATGTGTTTTTCAAAGATATAGATTTTTATACTTAACTCTTGCATTTATTTTATTTTTATGTAAGGTTTTTTTTATTATATATATTAAGAAAGTATTTGGGTAAATTATTAGGAAAATCAGGTTCTGGAAATTTTTTAGCAAAATTGAGATTTTTATTGCATTTTAGTTTTTGATGTAATTAGATTAAAATGTATTAAGCTTTTAATTTTAGTCAAAAATTTCTCGGAACCTGATTTTCCTAGAAACACTCCCATTTGCAATTTTGTAATTTTAGTAAATTTTTAATTTAAAATTCGATTTTTAGCATATAAAATATTATAACATTATATTGTTAATGATTTCTTAATAAGAAATATTATAATGCTAAAATTATTAATAAACTTTGATTATTTTTATAAATTGAATATATTTAATTAAAATATAAAATAGTTAAAACTAGAGATATTGTTGTTTTGTTATATAATAATTTTAAAAATACTCAAATTGTAAGATAAATAAAAATATCTGATAGTATAGTTTGTTTATTTATTAAAATATAAAAAAATGAGAAATATTGAAAATTTACTAGCAAAAATAATTACATATTTGTGAAGTAATGAGAAATAGACATGTGTTTTATAGGAACTATTTCAATAATAATAATAGTAGCAAATATCTTCATAAAGCTGGTATTAAATTTCTGTAACAGCTAAAAAGCCATTTATTTCAGATGAAAATTAAAAGAAATGATTTATTTAATATAAAGAACATATTAATTAGAATATATCAGAATGGAATAATATTATCTAGTCTTATGAGTCAAGTGTAGAAATTGGTAAAAGTTCTCAATGTGAATTAATATAAAAAAATTAGTGAATAGTATAATTTAAACTATTTAAAACTTACTTTTAAAAGTGGATGTAAATCTGTTATAGTTGTTCACAAGTAATAGATTAGAATTATTAGTAATTTATGAAAAAGAACGCATAAATTCTGATGACTTTATAAAAATTCTTAATGATTATCTTAAAAAATTTAAAATTATTATAGAAACTGAATTTGGTACTACTCTCATCTTTTAAGATGATAATACCAAAATTTATACTAGTAAAAATCTCATGAATAAAAAGAAAAGAATAGGATTAGATTGATGCCTTGGCCAGCCTAATTACCAGATCTCAATCCAATAGAAAACCTTTGGAAAATTATAAAAGATAGAATTTAATAATGTAAACCATTTTCAAAAACACTACAACAGTTAAAAAATAGCCTTAGAAGTAGAGTGAAGCAAATTGGAATCAAGTACTTTATCTAATTTGATTAATAGTATGCCAAAGCAAGTTGAAATGGTAATTGAAGTAAAAGGTGGACATACGAAATATTAAAACATATTTTTAAGTTCTTATTGTATAAAGTAAATATATAAATTGATAATAAAGCTTTAAAACTTGTTAAAGGTGTTTAATTAATTGTTTAATTGAATTTAAACTTAATTTACTATAAAATTACAAAATCACGAATACTTTCTTGGGCTATTGTACATTCACTAACTTCTATTTGTTCTTTTATTTTTAATTTTTTTTGAATTGCAACAGCATTGCTACATTCACCAGTTGTAATTAATCTCAAAACTTTTCGTTCATATCGACCAGTTAAGAGTCGCGGACGTCCAGATTTAGGCTGGTCTTTGTTGTTACCAGTTTATCTTTATGTTGCTTGATCCTTATAACAATTGATTGGGAAACATTTTCCTTGTTTGCTATATAGTGGGAGGGAAATCCTTCTTCAAATAAGGCACAAATCCTAGCTCTTTTTTTCAGCAGAAAGATAAACCATAGATTTTTTATAAAATTACAAAGAGGCGAAAAATGCCATAAGGCATCTTTTTTATATGTGCTGCATAGTTTTGAAACAAAAAAAAAATCGCGTAATATGTGCTGATGTTTATTTCTTAAATCGATCAAAAGAAATGCATCGCCACTTTGGCGAAGATTCATAACAAAAAAAAAAAAAATATCCTTAAAAAAAGATGAAATAAAATAAAGATTAAGGTATGACGAACTCTATTTTTAAGTTTTGTAAAACTGCGCAAAAATATCCGGTATATCAAGTATTCCGATATGGTAAAAAATACCGGAATTTATAAAAATCATGTGACAATCCGTTATTTATGTTATAGCTCAAAATTTTTCTTGATTTGGAAAAACTAAAATTAAATGAAATCATCTAATCTACTCTGTTTTTGCTTTTTTTATCAGAAATAATTTTTTTTTGAAAGTAAGTAAATTTTGCATATCTAAATTATTAATAATAGTAAAAAGCTAAAAAAAGGGAGCATTGAAAGAAATCTTAAAAAGATTAAGTGATCAGAATTCGTCACGTTACATTAAACATCTAAAAGGTAAATCTGAAAAATTAAAATTGACCAATCAAAAATGATTTACCCAATTAAAATGTTTCGTTCCTTTAATATACGTTTTTACTTTATTGTGATGAATTAAAAGCAAATTTGATGAAATAGTTTGTTAGTAAGATAGAAGCAAGCTGGATTTCGTATTATGTTACTTATAAAATCTATTCTCGTCGTATAAAGGTTTAGAGCGGGCAAAATTACGACCGGATAATTATCCTTCGATGTTTTCAATGGTGATTCAAGAAAAATTGTTATTTTTATGGCTAATATTTATCATTCTTTGCCATTTAAATTAGGTGAAACTCTCATAAAGTCAAAAGCGATTCCTTTCCTCTTTGGTAAATCAATCAACTGATGGATTACTGCAGCACCTAATTGATTTTTATTCTATATAAATAGATTTAGATGAAAGGAATAAATTTTCTAATCCTCATGATGCTTTTATCCTTCTAAATTTAGTAACAAATAAAATTGTTTTATTACATAAGATTTATGGAAAGATGAACCGGTTGATTATTTTTGTCATTTGAAATAATCTGTTTGGTTATGTAAATTTTTCTTAAAAAATAATGCAAAGAACTCATTACAAAATCTATTTAGCGTTAAAAACTATTTTTGTATTTATCCTTGTACAAAATGCGGCGTAACATACATGAAAGTGAATGGAACGACTTTCTGCTTATTTTAGCAAAGAATAGGAATGCGTGTTTATTGTTCTTCCTATTGTAGTCAACAAATAAAGAAATGATCTATTCGAAAAAATATTTATTGATCACGTGGTTTTTTAAAAAACGGAATTTCAAATCCTTAACTGCATAAAAGATACATACTTAATGAACGCAGTTTTTCGGTTTTTTTAAATATATATAAACGAGGTATCATGATTCATATCTTCGTTTAAAGAAAATTTTTTTATTGTAACGACAAACTCATACCAAGGAAAAATAAAATATTGCCAACTTTTTTTTCCTTGGACTATATAATCATACAACCTTACAATTCTTTCGTCAATATTCATAAAGTACATCATCATACCAAAACTTTATAAACAAATAAATATCAAACAAATTCTTCTTAGTTATAAACTACAAAGTATTAAACTTCAAAGAATTATTTATTCATCATGTTGCTACAAGTTTTATGTACTTCTACCATTATTTCAATTATCGCGTCAAGCGTTACAAAATCTAATTCTACACCCATAGAACATAATCATCACCATAAAAAGTAAGTATATTCAATCAACCTTGCACCCTCTTTTTTTGAACGTTCACTTACGATAATTCTTTTGCTTTTATTTCTTTGTAGGGAAGTACATTCAAGTCACAACCACTATCGTGCTCCTCGTTATCAATTCTCAAGATATAGCCAAAGTGTTCACGTTGATTCCACCACATGGAAACCAAAACTTAAACATTAAAATCTAGCAAACGAAATTAAACTAAATATTTTAGAATATTATAAACATTGTACTATTTCGTCATTTACCCTTGCCAGAAGATATTTTATAAATTAACTGTATTATAATTATTTGTTTCTTCCTTTTTCTTTCATTTTTTTTTTCTTTGTTATCTATATCGGACCGCAAAGAAAATTTTCCGACCATATAATTCGAATCTATTCTATCATTTAAAATAATTTAGACGTCGTTACAATAAAAATAATCACTATTTACTTCACAAATATTAATTATAACATTTGTCGGATATGTTATAACTTTTACACATAAGCAAATAAGGCCATGAAACTTCGATTTTTCGGTTCACGTCACCCGGCCGGGTCACTTTTTCAAATTTTAAAGTTTATATATAGAAAGTTTATCATTTGACTATTGTAATTTTATTTATTAATTCCTTTCTTACAACTCATTAATTTCATGCAGCTTCCCAAGCAATACATTGTGCTGAAATTTTTCTCCAACTAATGTTTTTGATGGGCTAAACTTCACTTCAAAAACTGCTTCATTCAGGTGATAAATGTAGAATCGATATATTTCCAAAAACATCTTTTATTTTTGATTCTTTATCAACAGGCAAACCTTCCCAATCTTTAGAATTGTAACTTATTTTTACATGTAAAATAGGCATTTTGACGGAGTTAAGATGGTTTTGAAATGAAATGTGATTGTCGTATGATTAGGCCGGCAAAGTCAATTTTTAAATTTTAAAATTGACACGGTCATCCAGGTTTTTTTTTCTTTTACATATGTAAGTTTTTTTATGTATTGTTATATTCTATATCACACACAAATAAATCTTATATTAAATCTGTAAATCTTTCTTTCGCCGCTTTCTTTTAAACAAAATCTGATATGCCGATTTTAATATGTAAGGTCACATGATAAAAATTTTACTATAAAAAAAAAAAATCCTGAATTTTCGTAAACTGACGCTGCCGAGTCACAAATCTGAAAATTTATATAAATAATCATTAATAAACTCCGGGTCCTCGGGTCGATGTTAAAATTCAATGTTACGTAAGTAAAGTTAGTGAAAGTAAAATTTATATGTAATTTAATATAAGTACCACTTTTTTTATCCAAAATTCTTAAGACTGCAGCTCAATTTGATTTTATGTAACTTTACATTTCATTATCTACAGGTATACAATGATGCCTTTGTAAGTATTAAGATTTCAAGACAAAATTAATGTCGAAATAAAAGGTTAAATATTCATGCTATTAAACTCTAGTCACGTAAAATGACCCGTAATCGGAATTTTTCTGATTTTTTTTTTTTTTGCGAATCTTTTTTTTTTTAAGAAATTATATAATAAATAGCTTTTAAGGAAATAAATAAATTTTACATTCTAATTAACTATGCAGTGGTTTTCAAGAACTATAATTACAAATACCACAAATATGATTTTGCATTCATATTTAAGTCTCAAATTTTGTAGACAATTTTTTATTGAATTCATAATAACAATTTTGTAAAAATGAATCACTAATTTGCATTTTAATTTCATGCCTAATAAAAATTTCAACAGGAGTATGCATACCGATATTAGTTTTAGAATACGTTTCACGTCCAACTGTTAAATAAACTTGTATTATGCACGATAAATTCATTTTTTTTTATTTCTGTCGGACATTTGCTATAATTTTAATTAAAAAAATTTTCTCTTTTAATGTCATGGTCAAAAGTACCAACTATAGCTATGTTATTAACCGAATATTTTGATTAAAGATTCAGCAAATTGCAAACCAATCATATACGTCTCTGCTGGATTATACCTTTTAAGGAAACGTATGTTATTCTTTTTAGAAATCATAAATTTATACAATTATTGAGCGAATATAAATATATTTTATTTCCGCGCCGTTCACGTCGAATATTTTATTTTATTCGAAGGATTTTGAATGACATCTTATTTTGTACTAATTTTATACATGAATTAAATAATCGAATATGGAAGACCAAGTAAATAAAATGTGATTATCAAGTTTAATCAAAGTTGGCAATAATGTTTATAATTATATATTGTGACTCGATTTAATCAGAACGGAAGCAAGCTACTAGAGAAATCACATCCTTCTAAATTAGAATAGAATTACTACACCGGATCAGATAATCAGATCATTTTTATTAACTAAAATTTTAATATTTAAACCATGCTTAACCAATTGTTGCCTCGAATTCACTAGTAGAATTATCTAATCCAACACCTGACTATTATGAAAACAAACCGTGCCGTGGTTATATTAATTTCAATTACGCTGCTGCGTCTTCTCGCTATTTTGTCAGAGTCGCATTGCACAAAATAATTTATTTATACAATAATTTCGAATAAAAATTTAGGTGATACATAAATTAAAGAATTTATTCAATGGGAACGAAAGAATAATTTTTGATGCCAAAACTAAAAATAACAAAATTAAATAGTCGCTTTTAAATATAATAGTAGAATGAATTAAGAAGTATTTAGTTTGTTTTTTTTTTTTTTTTTTTTTTTTTTTTTTTGTAAGGTTTAACTAATTTTCAAGATAAAAAAAGGATATAGAAAAATTCAATCAAATGAGTGATTAATATACATCCAAACATTTTGAATTTTTTTTAAACTCTTTGACCTGATATTTAAAGTCAATGCACTTGCCGTAATGCCGGCAAAAACTACTCCGCCCTATATTTGGTAATAGATAAACTGATATGATCGTCAAAAAATTATTTGGAAATTTAACTCGGTTTTGATCAATCAGGTGAGCAAATATCATGTGATATATTTGAAAATCAGTTGAGATTTATATTAATTTAAAATTAAAAATTATGTCGGTGCTGCTATAGTATAGCGGTATAAAGCACTTGACAATTCTAATCTCGAGTAATGGGTTCGAGTAAAACTAATACCAAAAAAAATAATAATAAAAAAAAAAAAAAAAAATTTTTTTTCTTTAAAGTTTAAAATTATATTTTAAACGATTACATAAAATAGTTTTCGAGAGCTTATTAAATTTGAACTTTTTTCTATATCATGAATACTTCATTTTTAGGAATATTTAACGATTATGATGTGTATTTTCAAAAAAATAAAAATCAAAGAATGTCCGTGTTATACTAACACGTCATTTTTGATATTTAGCTAATTTTTTCTCACTACAAATGACAACACATATGTAAAAGCTAAAAAAAAAAAATGTATTTAGTGACAAAGCTTATTGACGCTTATTATTCTTTATATTATTAAACGCCAACAATAAGAAGGACAAGGACAGTATATTGTTTATTTTCGTAATTTGAATTTTATCTTTTTCTATGTATTAATTATTTTCTTCCAGTTGATCAAGTAACGAGAGGATAATGTGCAGTTGTAATTTGACGCGAAGTACTTTGATTTAATTGCAGCTAAAATAGTATTGTGCTTTAAGAGGATGATGCTTAGGAAACTGGTAGATAGCGCCAATCATTGGCATGGTTTTTCTTTAGTAAAGGTCTGCTTTCTCTGGTATAAGAACTGTTATGTACTGTACCTTCCCTTACAGATCAATCAAACAACGCTCATGAGCGAGCTTCTTCTTATTTCTGAATACCTCTTGGAGTTACCGCCCATTAAAAATTTCACTGCAATATATTACGTAGATTATTTTCTTTACTTTATTTCTTATTGCTTTTTAGTGAGTTGTATGGTTGCCATTTTATAATTATATTACAATTATTATTCATCTAGTGGCAAAGGTTCTCCTATCCATTCTTCTTAATTACCCGTAGAACTTCATGAGATCCACATAGGTCTTTTACTGTGCGATCTTCATTGTCAGCGTAGAACTCCCACAGGTAACACTAGACTATTGTTTTTTTTAATAAAATGATTCTATTTTCATTGAAAATTTTGATATTACGATTAGTTTATATAGGTTTGCCTTGCTTTAAAATTAAACCATTAACACTATTATGACATTCTTTTAAATTTTATACGAATACTAGGACCAACATACCTGTTATTGCTTTACAGAAACACCATTAAGAGCACACTTGATTTACCACAACGCTAGCGATTCTAAAAGCTTGCGTAATCAAACAGGAGCATCTTGAGCATTTATACACCACATGTTGCATAAATAGTTCAGACATTGATCATAGTTGAACTAGACGGATTTTTTGTGATCATCCTATGAAAGAATTTAGAGCTCGTCTTTATATTCATAAGTTATTCAAGGGGATGTCAGATCAAAATACTCTAGTTCTTCTAATATTTGACTGATTGTGTTGTCACTGATGCCAATCCTTTTGAGATTCATAGATTAATTGCAAGGTTTGGATCAACTTATTTCTCTTTACCAAGTTCACGGTTCAAAATCTAAATCGTTTGCAATAGCCCGTAGCCTAATTTATTTATAAGACAAAAACGACGCCTCTATTTAAAGATACTTCATCAAGTCATTTTTAAACTTCAAAATATTATGTTTAAACGTTTCAGCCTAACAGTTCCTCTATTCATTATTGATTCGCATTCATTTTACCAAATGATGGATATCTTTGGAGTATATATGAAGGATTAATACATCTTTCACAATTAACTTTAATCATATTCTCAAGAACTATCGAATTGTCCTTTGATGTAATGACAATGTCCTCACAATGGTGAAAAATTTATCGTTAAGTTAATCAAAAGTATAATTTTTCAACAGGGTAGACATCATTATATACAAAAATAGAAAAGAATAAATTCTTTCAAATTGTGATTTTTGTTTATACAATTTTGTGCAAATAATAATGTAATAAAAGTACATTTAATAGGAAAAATTAGAAGAGAAAAATATTTTGCAATAATTTTATACTTAAAAATTTTTTATATAGCATTATAAATTATATAAAATACGCTAGACATGTCATACATAAATCATTTTAATATTAAAAATTTTTTGTGTAACTATGACTAAGTTACTTATTCTATAGTTAACTATCATAAAATATTTATATTTAC